ATAACATAAAATTTAACATTTTAACCATTTTCAAGTGTACTATTGAGTGGCAGTAAGTGTATTCACGATTGTGCAACTATCACCTCTACCTAGTTCCAGAACTTTTTCATCACCCCAAAAGGAAACCCGGTATCCATTAAGCAGTCACTCCCTACTCCCCCTTCCCCCATTCCCTGCTTTCTGTTTCTATGGATTTTCCTATTCCAGATATTTCCTATGAATGGAATCATAATTTGTGCCTTTTGTGTCACAGCATGTATCAGTGATTCACTCCTTTTTATGGCTAAATAACATTCTGTTGTATGAATAGATCACATTCTGTGTATCCATTCATCAGTTGATGGGCACTTGGGTTGATTTCACCTTCTGATTATTGTGAACACTGCTGAAATGAACACTGATGTACACGTATCTGTTTGAGTCTCTGCTTTCAATTCTTGTGGGTATATACCCAGGAGGGGAATTGCTGGATCCTATGGTAATTCTATGTTTAACTTTTTGAGGCACTGCCAAACTATTTTCTACAGCGGCTATAACATTTCATGTTTCCACTAGCAGTGCACAAGGGTTCCGACTTCTCCACATCCTTACTAACACTTGTTATTTTCTGGTTTAAACATTCATTTTTATTTATTATGATTTTTTTTTATATGGTCATCCCATTGAGTATTCCATTGTGGTTAGCGCTTGTTTGGATTTTCTCTTTTACTCTGAAGGTCAGAGAGGGCAAGGCACTTGTCCCAGTTCCCAACGCGGGAAGCAGCCCGGCAGGGACTGCCAGGATCGCTCTGTCCATAAGATCTAAGCATAGACCCGGCCACCCTCCCAGCTCCACAGAGAGGGCCACTGAGGCTCAGAGGGGTGACTTGCCCAAGGTCATCTAGCTTGGGAGTGGCAGAATTATTTGTTCATTTACTCAGTAAATGTTTACTGAATGCCTACCTTGGGCCAGGCACTGGTCCAGGTGCGGAATAGAGTTGTGAATAAACAAATGAAAACCCCTGCCCTGGTGAAGCTGGCCTCCTAGTGGGAGAGACTGACAAAATACAAAATACAAAATAAATGAATAAGCTGAATGAATGTGTCACATGGTGATAAGGGCTGTGGAGAGAAATGAAGCTGGCAAGGGGGACGGAGAGGTGGAGTGTAAAGGCAATGCTTGAGCAGAGACCTGATGTGGTGAGGGAGGAAGCTGTGTGGAGACCTGGAGAACAGCCAGCACAAAGTCCCTGAGTGTGCTGGGTGATCCAGGAACAGCCAGGAGGCCGGGTGGAAGGCAGGCCTTGTCTGTGCTGTGGATGCTGAGAGGCGGAAAGGCCCACCAGCACCGACCTCCTTGCTGTGTTTCTGGGCTGGCTGAGGTATTGAGGGCTGGTTCAAGTGAGTTCACTCCTGTGCCCTCTGTCAGGCAAGCAGGAGGTCACTAAGGAAAGGACTCATTCCTAGGCCCAGGGCAGCAGGGAGGGACAGGGAACTCATCACCCGCAGCTGCTGTGCTGCTCCACTCCACGTGCTCCTGTGGACCCCCTGAAGCTCTCTGGTTCCTAGGCCAGGAGGAAGGCAGTCCAGGCCCAAATCTAGGAAGTAGCACTGGGCACTGGGGTCCCACATGCCCACCTCTCCCTCCTGGTTTACTGAGCCACCCAAAGCAGTTTCCACAGGGCTGCCATCCTGGCTCCTTCTCACCCTATCTCCTCCCAGGAACTCAGAGCCCCTGAGCTGTCATCTAGCTCTCCTGGATGCCAGGGCTGGGCTGATCCAACCCCAGCAGCGTGTCCACAGGTGTGATCCTAACAGCTGAGTCTCATTTATACAGAAAGGAGGGAAACCCATGTCCATTGAGAAGCTACTGTGCGAGTTATCACCTCCATCCTCACTGCAGCCTCACTCAAGCAGTACCCTGACGCCTGTTTTATGAACAGAAAATAGATTCAGAGTAGAACCCAAAGACATCCAATAAGCAAATGTTAATTTTAATCATAAAAGCCCATTTTAATGATTGCTGGGAACTGGGAGTTAACACAGCCAGATTTGGTGTGTATGGGGGGATCTAGTGCAGGGGAGGGAGCTCAGGGAGAATGGGGAGGGCAATAAAGGGGTTAAGTCTTCTTTTGGTCTTGATTTTCTGTAGCAGGGGTCAAGCCCCTTGCAAGAGAGGTCATCTGGAGTTGTTTGGCCTGGAGCAGACTAGGAGATAGCCTTTGATAACTGTATTCCCTTATCTGAAGAGCTATCAGAGAGGTGACCCTGAGGGTTGAATGTAGCTTGATTTGTTAAAGCTTCTGGAAGGGTGACTTTGGCTCAGTGTCATGAATAAACACCCCTGTCCTATTGTAGGAGTCCCTGGGTGGTACAAACAGTTAACTCATTGCTAACCTAAAGGTTGGCTGTTGAAGTCCACCCAGAGGTACCTCGGAAAAAAGGTCTGGCAATCTACTTCTGAAAAATCAGCCATCGAAAACCCTATGGAGCACAGTTCTACTCTGACACACACGGGGTTGCGATGAATCAGAATTCACTCCACAGCAACTAGTTATTGGTTTTGGTCCCATAGTAAAGCAGACTACTTCAATAGGTGGTGAACCTCCCATCACTTGAAGCATGTAAGCAGCAGTGACATTTCCATCTGCCAGGGATGCTGCAGAAGGAGCAGCCTAGCAAAGGAGTTTGGCCTGGATGATTGATTTCCCTACAACCTTTCAGACCTGGAGCTTTCAAGGGAGAGAGGCAAAGACTTCTGCCCTTAAGTATCTTCAGCAGGCTTTTGATCTGAACAACCCAGTCACATTTCAACTTCCAGTTTGTCTTCTGGGTGGGGTGTTTGCTTTTCACAGGGGTGGAGGGACTTAGGGGTGGAGGAGTGTATTCCTCTAGTTACATCAGCTCTGATATGACCTCTGATGTTTAACTTTCTTTGTTTCCAGATGAACAAAACACACAAAAATTCATTTTGTTGCCTTAACAAAACAACAAGAGAGGCCAGGTAGGTCAGGAGAAAACTGGGGCTTCAGTGAGTTAGACATGTGGGGTAAGGGAATGCTCGCTAGGAGCCTCCCCCACCCTCACCTTGGTGGGCTCCCCAGAAATGGCTCTGATTCCAGCAGGGCCTGCCTGGGTATCCTGAGCAGGTGAGGGTTCCTGACTTGTGAAATGCCAGGGGTTACTTAGTGAACTAGTCCTTGAGTACCCATTGTAAACCCAGCTCTGTCGGTGAAGCACTTCCAGGGGTCAGCTCCTATGTGATAAGCTTGAGCAACACATCTTTTCCCATTTTACTTCTGAGGACAAGGAGAGCTGCCCACAGTCACAGAGCTAGTGTGTGCTCCAAGGCCAGTGCTCTCTCTGCTGTATTGGCCTGCCCACCCCCTCCTGAGGATGTGGTGAAGGCTGGGGCTTCCTGTAAAGCAATCACCACAGGGAAGGGAATGCAGTGTAAACATTCAACAATGGTAGGTACTGTAATGTACTTAGAATGGAGGATGGTGAGACTTCCTCTCACATACTTTGGACGGGTTATCAGGAGGGACCAGTCCAGAAGACCCTCATGAGATGGATCGACACAGCAGCTGCAACAATGGGCTCAAATATAGCAAAGATTGTGAGGATGGCACAGGATGAAGCAGTGTTTTGTTCTGTTGTACGTAAGGTCGCTATGACTTGGCATTGTTTTGATGGCACCTGACAACCATAAGGTGGAGAGATGTTGGCCACCGAAATTGGGAAGCAGCTGGTGTTGTGGAAAGAGCATTGAGACATGGAGTCTGGTCCTGCCTGGCTGCCTGACTTTGAGCAAATCTCTCAATCTATTTCCCCATATAGGTAATACTCAGCTGCAAAAGCGTTTCTCTTTGGACCCATACATCTAAAACCCACCTATTTTTTTAACTCCTTCTTTCCTGCTACTCGCCCTCCACCACTATTCCGTAGCTCACTAGCCTTTTCTCTACTCCTGAACCATAAAAAAAGCCAAACCCGTTGCTGTTGAGTCAATTCCAACTCATAGCGACCCTATAGAACAGAGTAGAACTGCTCTATAGGGTTTCCAAGGAGCGCCTGGTGGATTCCAACTGCCAACCTTTTGGTTAGCAGCTGTAGCTCTTAACCACTACACCATCAGGGTTTCCTCTACTCCTGAAGTACCCCTAAATTCTATCCTTTCTCCTGCCTTTGCAGGTGCCATTTCCTGTTCCTAGTCCACTCTCCAGCCCTGCCTCTGCACCTTGTATGACTGGCAGTTTCTCATCAGCTCAAACCTCTCTTCGTCAGAGGCCTTCCCTGAGCATTCTAAGAGCGTATCCTTTGTTATCCTGACCTAGCCCCCAGTTTTTTCCATCATAGCGCTTATCAGAGTTGTAATCCTTTATATATCTCCGTTAAAAGACTAAGGGCCCTTGTCTGTCTTGCTGGCTGCTGCGCCCTCAGCACACAGACGGTGAGTGAAAGCAAGAATGAGTGACCGACGACTGAGGGGAGGTGTCCCTGGCTGAACGAAAAGGTCCGGGGAGTCGGGGGACCAGGACTTAGGAGCTGCCTCCGGCCGGAAGCGATAAACTCCGCTCTGGCCGCACGGCCCCGGGGCCAGGCGACTCCGCTACTGGGCGGGGAGCAGAGTCGGCCAAAGTCCGAATCCGCAGGGGGCTGCCCGGGAGCTACTTATATCTACAACCCACGGCCGCCGGCCTCTAACGCACTTCCGCCAGTCGAGCACAGGACGCCAGGTCAGTGGCAGGCGGGCTGCAGGCGCGGGGACACCGTCGCGTGCCTCCAGCGACCCTGGGACTTGTAGTTCCCAGCTCCTCGGAAGCCGTCGCAAGCCCGGGAACTAGGCGCCCCGCAGGGGCCGGGAACTACATTTCCCACAAGGCCGGAGGGAGAGCGCGCGCGCGCGCGCGCGTGTGTGTGTGTGTGTGTGTGTGTGTGTGTGTGTGTGTGTGTGTGTGTTGGGAGGGCGGGGCGGTGGTCACCGGGAAAGCGCCCCGGCCGGCGGCGAACCCCCAGCGCAATGGGGCGGGTTTCGGACGGCGGGAGGCGCTGCGAGGCTCCGCGTGGTCCCTCCGAGGCTGGCACCTGCTGAAAGGACCTGGGCCGCGGCCGGGCCTGACTGCTGCGGAGGCCTCGGCAGTGTTGACTTCAGGCAGGTACTGACCGCGCGGGGCTACGGGCTGACGGGCCACCCGGGCCGCAGAGAGAGGGACCAGGAAGGCTGGTGGCCGGCACCGCTTTCAACGCCCGGGGGGCGGGGCTGCGGGCGTTACCAGGCAACGGGGGCGGGGGCGCCGCGTGCCTGCGTGGGTGCTTGTGTGCGCGTGTGCGCGTGTGTGACTGAGAGACTCACTCAGAGATGCGAGATCGGGGTGTTTGAGAGGGAGGAAGCCAGCCTCAGATTGTGTGTGTGTGTTCGCGCGCGCGTGTGTCAGGCAGGGGTGTGCCTGAGGTTGTGTGTGTCTGCGTGTGAGTCTCCGGTATTGTGTGGTCTCGTTTCGGGGAGCGTGTGTCTAAGCGTGGGTGTGTATACTGGAGGCTGTGTATTACAGAGTGTGGGGAGTGGAAGCAGGTGTGTGCGAGCGAGGGTACGTGCGCGTGTGAGGACTGCGAGTGTGCCCGGAGGGGCCGGAAGGCCTGACCTGCAGCTGGGGCAAGAATAGTGTTGAGCCCTGGTGCCTCCACTCCGTGACTCTGAGCAGATTGCAGACTCTCACCCCGTCCTGGGTCGATGTTGGGACAGTCCATACCTGCCAGCGTTGTGTACGGGATGGGATGGTAGGGCCCTGAAGGTGGAGACCTGGTGCTGGCTCAGCTGGCTGAGTTGGCCTTTTCCTGGGTCTCTCCCCAGTCTCCCAGTTCCAGTTGCTTTTCCGCTTGCCTATGTTCTCCCATGTATCAAAACTTCCTATTAGATTCTTCATTATCCTTTTTCATCAATCAGCCACTGTTCATTGAGCCCATAAGAGACATCTCTGCTTGCAGCAGTCTCTGATTTAGTCTGTCTGTTCCCTTTATTCTCTACTCACACGTGTGTTTATTCATTCACTGACCCAGCCAGTGGTTCCTGAGGGCCTTGTGTCAAGGTCCTGCTCTTCCTGAGCTTTTATTCTAGAAGGGAGACAGGGAAACAAGCTGAAATATTCTGAAGGAGATATTTAGAGAGTAGCCTGGTGGGGAAGTGGGAATGAAATCCCAAGATAGGTGGTCCCAGAAGATCTCTCTGAGATGGTAACTTGTGATTGGAGACCTGAATGATAAACCAGTAGGGGTAAGAGGGCTAATGGTAGAGGGAGCACAGTGCGAGAAAGTCTTAAGGAGGGAGTGTTCAAGGAACAAGGAAAGGCTAGGCAGCCAACCCTGAGGTAGTGGAGGAGGGTAGTAGGAAGTGGATGGCTGAGGAAAAGACATTACTGTTACAGGTAACTTTTCATTGACATAAAACAGACTTACAGATGAGTGACAGAGCGTACACTTAGAGCTCGATGCAGTTTCATAAAGTGAACATACCCGTGTAATCAGCACCCAGACCAAGACGCAGACCAGCCCCCAGGAGCATTCGAGATATCTCGGTTTACATGGTAAATCACAAATGAGAAGGGCTGTTGGAGTTCTGAGGAGCCCTGTTGATGTAGCGGTTAAGCGCTCGACTGCTAACCGAAAAGTTGGCAGTTCAAACCCACAAGCCCCTCCGAGGGGGGAAGATGTGGCAGTCTGCTTCCATAAAGATTTACAGCCTTGGAAACACTATGGGGCAGTTCTACTCTGTCCTGTAGGGTTGCTATGAGATTCAATGCCAGTGAGTTTGGTTTTGGTTGGAATTCCAAGGCGAGGCCCATCAGCACTGCTTGGTTTAGCCACCAGTGTTTCATGGAGGAGGTAATTCTGTGGGGAAAGGTGGGCTGCCCTTAGTAAGGGATGGGCAGAATGCAGGCGGACAGGGACACACAGCAGACCCAACTCAGAGCCTGGCCTAGCACATTTGCCCTGAGGCACGGCCTATATTCTAGGTGGAGTGGCAAAGAGGCTTAGCCAAGAGCAGGGGAAGATTAATTGGATCTGTGGGGGAGGCTTCCCTGCCCTTTCTCCTTTCCACTAGAACCTGATGGGGCTGTGCAGTTTGAGAGCTGGGAGCATTTGAGGGGTACAGGTCAGGGTGACCCTCACTGGCTAACATTCTGTTTTTCCATTGCTGTTCTCATTGGTACAGTTAAGCTTCCTATTGCCAAGGGATTTTTCTTTAAAAAAAAAAAAAAAGAAAGAAACCCAACCTCCACAACAATATGTATTTGCAGTATCTCCTCTTCCTCCTCACTCAAACTCTGTTTTTAAAAGATGTCAATCCCTGGCCTGAGTAAGTCTCAAGGTTTCTCTTCACCTGATGGGCTGCCAGATCTCACACACGGGCGCCATCCATTAGAAATGTAATGTGAGCCACGTACGGAGTTTTTAATTTTCTAGTAGCCATATTAAAGAAAAAGAAACATAAAAATTTAATCATATATTCTGTTCAACCCAATGTATCCAAAATATTGTCATTTTATCCTATGACACCCCAAGTACTCAGTAGGCACGCTGGCTAATGGCTACAATATTATGTTGGACAGTGCCACTGTTGGACACAATGCTTGCATAGCTGGTTGTACCCTTAGCCAGCTCTCTTTGGGGCTGCTTCGATTGGTCCAGAATCTTGGTTTTGTTTTTAATTTAAAAATTTACTTATTGGGGTAAGGGGTATGCCTGGCACTTGCCCCCAGTAGGTTCATTGACCTAAGCCCTTTTTTGCCTCACTCTTTGCCTTCCCTGATGTGGGTTTCTTGCTGGTGGGTGGATGGGAGCAGGGACTTGCTGGTCACAGGCAGGGATGCCGGTCTAGGGCCATGTATGTCAAATATTTCTGTGCTGGCTTCTTGGAGAACCCAGAGTATCAGAGCAAATTGAGCTGCTGAGAGCAGGGTCATGGTTCCCAGTGGACTCTCTTCATGCCCAGGTATAAGATCCCTTTTCTTTTCCATAGACTCACCTATTCACATGAGCAGATGGGTGGTATCACCTACTCACTGTAGGTGCCAAGAGTGGGGGGCCTTAGTTTCTTGAGCTAGAAAATGGGACTGGTAATGGGGCTATGGTGAAGACCAAAATGATTACAAAGGGTATGGAGGAACTTTATAAACTGTAAAGTGCAGCTCACATGAGGGTGGTCTTCAGAAGGCAAAGACCCTGTATTTAGGAAGCTCAGAGGCTAGGTAGGGCGACCGGTACCTGTAGTTGGACAGTCCCCATTTGTAATATGGGAGCGAAAGTATAAACCATTTGAAGCAAAGTCCTCATGGCAGATATGGGGTGTTTTGACTACCTTTTGGGGAAGGATATTTCCCTGCTCCACAAAATGTTTTTTAAAAACCTTTTGATGTTATCACTTTAGTTAAATATTTGGCCATTGTATTAGGTGACTTATTTAGTAAAATCCCAAGAACATACATTTTGTCTTCAATATTTTTTGGATCAGAGTCAAGACAATAGATTTGAGGCTTTACTCTGCCACTTATTATATAACCTTGGGCAAGTCAGTGAAATTCTCTCTTAAGCTCAGTTTCTTCTCAATCTATTGAGATAATCATATGGTTTTTTGAATATTGAAGCAGCCCTGAATTCCAAGGACAACCCCCCACTTGGTCATGACATATTATCCATTATATATATAATTTTGATGGATTCCATTTGTTAATATTTTGTTGAGGATCTTTATGGCTATATTCCTGAGTGTGGAATAAAGAATTTAACTTTATCCAGAGTAATTTGGTCTTTGCCCTTATTCTCTGAGAGAGAACTCTAAACCCTTAGAATTTCCTAAGTAATTGAGGTGTTTTTGTTATGTAAGGCCTCTAGACCACACCTGAGGGTTTGTGCTAATGAGTGGGGCTGGCCTGGCCAGCTGATATCAGCTGATCTTAGATGGGGGGCATGATTCAATTAATCATCCCTATGCATTGAGGCCCCAATAAAATATCTGGACACGGAAGCCTCGTGGGCTTCCTGGTTGGTGAAGACATCAGTGCACATTGGAGAGTAGTACGTCCCTTTCTTGGGACTTGAAAGCTCCGTGTTGGGAACCTTCCCAGACCTCACGCTATAGGTCTCTTCATTTGTGTCATTTTTGCCATAATCAAGCTGTAATTGTAAGTGTAACACTTTCTGTGAGTTCTGTGAATTGTTCCAGCAAATTATCGAACCTGAGGAAGTAGTGGGAGCCATCAGGTCAGAAGTAAGGGGGTGGGGGGCTTAGGGACTGTCAAGCTTAAGACTGGTATCCTGTGTGGGTCGAGGGAACCCCCGAATTCATAGCTAGCAGGTCAGAAGTGAAGGTAGCTCCTGGGGACTCCTGAGCTTGTGTCTGAAGTCTTGGGCAGACCGAGCAGTCTGGAGGACTGTGTATTTGTCCTTTAACTTGTGAGATCTGACATAGCTCTGGGTGGTTAGGGTCAGAGAAAGAAGTGCTGCAGGTGTGGCTGGTGTCAGAACTGAACAGAGAAGTGAAAGGCGGGGATTTGTTTTATCCTCGTAGTTGGTGTCAGGAAAAGGTGGAATTTGATGATTATTTATCCACTCAATGAGGAATATTGGTTTGTATTTTTATTGTAATGTCTTAGGTTTTAGTATTAAGGTAATGCTGGTCTCATAAAGTGAACTGGAAAGTGTTTCCTCCTCTTCTGTATTCTGGAAGAGATTATGTAGAATTGGTATTATTTCTTCCTTAAATGTTTGGTAGAATTCATCCAGTGAAACCATTTGGGCCTGAAATTTTCCTTTTTGAAAGGTTTTTAATGTGAATTTAATTACTTTAATAGGTATAGGATTATTTCTTGGATGAATTTTGGTAGTTTGCATCTTTCATTTGTGCCCATTTTATCTAAGTTGATGAACTCATGGACATCAAGTTGTTCATTAAAAAAGCCCAAAAAACAGTTGCCATTGAGTTGATTCTGATTCATGGCAACCCCATCTGTGTCAGTGGCTGATTTTTTTGGAAGTAGATCACCAGGACTTTCTTCTGAGGTGCCTCTGGGTAGATGCCAACCTGATAGAAGCCTCGGTTCTGGGCCCTTGAAGGTGAATTTAAAGGAAAGGGACCTGAAACCCACAGTCAAACAGAGGA